GTACATGTTTTTTAATATTCTTGTATATTTTTTTACTATATTTTAATATTTTCAACTAAGCTCTAAGAATTTGTAGTTAAACAACAAAAAATTGTATTTTCTCAACCTGAAAATATGCATAAAATTCGGAAATTTCTTTGGTAAATGATTTAACTGCTGCAAATTTGACAAGTTCAAGTGGCAGTGGCAGCTGCCATCCCCAGCCAACCCGCCTCTCTGTGCCCCCTGCCTCTGCTTCTGAGTGCAACCAATTCAGCAACTCCAACTTTAGCTGCTGCAATTTATGCATTCAAGTGGCAGCAGCCACGACAACGACGCTGATGAGGCAGCTGCGACTGCGAGTGATGCTAGCTTTCATCTTGTATCTTGCATCTTGCATCTTGAATCTGCAGGATGCATTTTGCCGATTGTCAAGTGTTTGCTAGCAGCGACGTTCTTATCAAAATTCGCGAGCATCATTATGGCATCACAAATTACAAATACAATTACGTAATTCCAAGAACAAATTTGCGGCAATCAGAGAAAATATCTTGAGTTTCAAGTTCTTTACTCAAAGAAATAAATTCAGTTAAAAATTTATTTTTAAAAATTAATATTTTCTTTCATTTTTCAGTTCAAATTAGTAATAATAGTGATTCATTTATTTAAAATTCATCTATAAAGAAATATACCTAAAATAAAAACAGGGAAACTTTTTCCATCTTATCATTGATTCCTTCTAGAAATTAATGTAATTTATTTACTCTCCCAGCGTTGCTTATCAATTTGCATTAACAAAAGCCAGCCGTGGGTTCAAAAGTTCTTCAACAACATTATCAATCTTTGATGGAAATAAAATAAAAAATGAACATCAATATGAGTAAATTTGTATTTCTATTTATTTTTTATAAATATATACTTAGATTTTCTGCCTGCTTAAACAACTTTAAACTGGTTTTTGTTTATTTATGCATATATTTTATATATTATTTAACATTTTTTTTTTATAGTTTTTCTATTTTTTGTAAGTCTAGAACTTACCTGGCAAAGTCCAAACGTCGCTGACAGCCAGCGTGATCAGTAGAACACCGCACAGCAGCTTCATATTTATTTTCACACGATCTTTATTTGTTTTCTCTTTTGTTTTTTGTTTGAGTCTAACAAATGTTTTTATTGTTTTATATTTCAAGCACCTTTGTTATGATCTGTTTTGCTTTTCTTAGGATTTTCGATTTGAATTGTTCTGGCACCGGTTGCCGGATTTGGTTCTGTTTCGTAAGACAAACAATAGTCAAATGCGCTGAAATGCGTCGAGGAAACGGCAAATAAACAGAATGAACGAACAGAAATCACTGAGTGAAATGAGCGCAACAGATTGAGCGACACACAAAGAGTGTAGGTGAGAATCGTGGGGAGAACACAGCGAATACTAGTGAGAATCATATACACTGTCCGCACTCAAAGCAAAGCAAAACCCACTCACGCTCAATTAGTTGAGCTGCGAGCTTTATTAAAATGATTAAATGGCAACGACAAAGTCATTAAAATAAAACTAAAGCTTAAAGCTGAGGGCTGTCTGAGTGTGGTAAGCCATGGGGATCATTGAGTGTATGAGACTGTCAGTAGGAAGAGATGAGTAGGCAGATATATAAAGAATATCGCTTTTAGCTAGAAAAAGTTTAGGTTAGGTTTGAGAAAAATGCATAATAAATTATATAGACATCTAGAGAACCGAGGATATAGGTAAGAATTTAGCTCAGTGAAATGAAATGAATGGTCAGGAAATCATATTTTTAGTTTAAGATCAGTAAGCCATAAATTATCATTGTAAGACTCCTCTATGATTACAATGATAAAAAAAACAATATGAGAACTCTAATACTTCTTTGCAAAAAGTCAATAACACAGGTGGCCATGTTCAGCTGGCCACTAGTGTAGGGCAATGCATGGCGGCAAACGCGGCGAATGCGCAATTTTTATTGCATATGTATACTTAGTTGTCTGTTGTTGTTTCTTCTCTTTTTTATAGTATTCGTTGCATGTGCCCCTTTTTTTCGTATGCGGGCTAATCAATTGTCATTTGTGCTTCGTTAGTTGCACGTTTAATACGTTTTTGTTTGAATTTTGCCTTGCTTTTTTGCTTAGTTTTTGTATTTTTGCTTTGCTTCTCAGAGAGCAAAAAGAGAGAGAGAGAGAGAGAGAGAGAGAGAGAGCGAAATTATGTCAATCAGTTAGTTGGCAAAATAATCACTTGTTGTTGCTTGACTGCCTACCGAGTTCAGGGTCAATGCTGGCTGATTTCGTAAACAGTGGAAAACTGCTTTGGCTGAATCACTCGATTCACTTATCGATAGCAGGTGCTATCGATATCATTTATGTCAGCTAACTGATTGAACTTTGGGCTTAGTGGCAAAAAGTGCTTGGTTCCCGGTTTAATTCCAACTAATTTAATTACAGATAACATATTTAAATATCATGTAAAGATCAGCTAAATAATTGCATTGCTGATGATTGAGTGTTTCTAGATAATTAGCTAAACGTAGTTGAAAAGTCACGACTGATCGTTGCCCACATTGAAAATCACGATTCAAGTTTATGAATTATAACAGAAAGATTAAAAAATCAATTAGCTAACACCGTCGACAAGCCATTATCATTAAGAATATTTCTATTTTAACTCCTATCTTTAATTTATTTATTTTATTATAAATTATTTTTGAGATTATTTAAAATAAAAACAAAAAATTTTGAAGGAGTATCTGGAAATAATCAGATATTTTCTATAAATAATGAAAAAAGCCAATTTTTTTTTTTTTTTTTTAGAATATTTTTTTAAAGTTTAATATGTATTCAATATTTAATTATTTGTATTTTTTTTATATAATTATAAGTTTTTTATATTTGATAACCTTTTTTAATGCGCTTTATATAATTGTTGTTTTTAAATAATTTCAAAAGTTTCAATATAATCCTCCATTTATTGATGTTCTACAATTTTCCATAAAGATGTCGTTTCATTTAAAAGTGTACATATTTATATTGAAATTTAATTTTTATAGCTTCAACATGGCTGATACAAAATTTCAGATCAGCCAAAATCGTATTGCAATTCTAAATTTGGTAATAAGGAAATCTTAATGTTTATAACTCGCACGCGTTTTAGATTTCTTTAAAGCACATAAACAATTTTAATATTTATTTTAAGGCACTAAGATTTTCTTTGCACAAATAAATTTCACTTTTTTGCGCTGGAAATTCATTTTGTTGTTTTGTATATTCAATTTCTTTAAACAATTTTTGGTTGTTTATAAACATCAAACGGAAATAACACAAGCATATTTGTACATACATACATAGGTATTTACCTATATATATGTAGGCAAATATTTGCAAATTTATTTACGGTTATTTTAGTCTGTTGTTGCTTTCGATGTTGTGGCTGTTGTTGTTGCACGCGCGATCGTTGAGGTCTCGCGTCTGTTGACTTTTGTATACGATTTCGGACTAAACGTTGCGTACAAATTTGGCTTAATTTATACCAAGGCACGCAGCTAACAAAGCACAAAGAACAGCCAAAGCGAGAGAGAGAGACAGAGAAACAGCAGAAGAAAGAGACACAGCGAGAGAGAGAGAGAGCGTGCGTATGTACGATCAAGAACTGGAACGCATGCAACGGCACGAACAGTGCCTTAAAAAGTGAATGTCTCTTGGCTGCACTTTGACTACGAAACCTCCACAACCGAAACGAGCCCTTGACCAAGGCTTGAAGTTTATTTCGCTTTAAGAATTCACGGCAAATCGCCGACAACGACGAGCAACGCACGCCAAGCAACGCTCTCTGTATTCCAATAAGAACCGGGCAAAAGAATAGCATAGAACATTTAAAAATATTCCACTAGCAAATACCCTAAAATGTTCTTGATGAATGTATTTGTAAGAAATTTTCTTGCGTTCTGAAAATAGACAATTAATGGAAATGTATTTCAGTTTAAAAAATTAGTTGAAACGATATACAAATTATATGCGCTGTAATATATGATAAATTTTGTTACCAAAATTACAACAAAATATAATATTAAGCAACATACCCTTTATCGTTGGCAACATAGGGCATAACAAAAGACCAGCTTTTACGCTCTCGGCTCAGTCCAACTGTTTTATTCTTGTCGTATTGTGTCGCACAGATTGGGATCACAAATCGCGGACTCTTCACATTTTATTCTTGTCACACGCACACACACACACACATGTATATATGAGTACTCTCCCCAACCGGATTCACAGTTTAACTGCACATTTTACTGTGCTTTATTTTGTACCGGTTCGAGAATGCATTGCCTTAAGTGCGAAAAGCATTTCAATTCATAAAATTAATTACGATTACGATGTTTGGTGGGGAATTTTGACAAGTTGTTGCAGCAACATTCTTGCGGTTGCAGATGCTTATATTCCAAAATAAACGTGCCTCAAGGTCGGTATTCAGCTGATCAGACTGATCAGCTGATCATCCCGTTTTAATTAAATTTCGCAACTTCTGCACTATCGCGTTATCGTTCTCTTTCCATTTTTCCTTCATTCTATTTCATTCTCTTAAAAAATTCTAATTGCGAAGATGTCATGAATCGTATTTATAAATATAGCAACTTTTCCATAGCTGTTGCGATCGCCCACGCACACATTGTCATGAGCGCCACATGCTCTTGACCTTGACACTGTTAGTATTGATGTTATATTTACAGAGAATATTTAAAAAACAGGCATAAACCTCGCAATGTATTTCATTTGGGACGTTACAATTGAGACGCCCTCTACAGTGAAGGGTAATATATATAAGTGGCGCCATCTCTTGGCGCTTAACTAACACTACAGTCTCACATACGATATTACAGAAACATAATATCGATTGCAGCTAAGTCGATATATAAATTTGTCAAATGGCGGTAAATTTGAACTGAATAATGGAAGAGTTGTCTTACATAGCCCAAATTATATATACAGATATAAATAGCTATGAGATTTATTTTATTTACGTAACTATTCAATTTAATTTCAATTATTTTATCAAAGCAAAATTTGTCGTTTGACACATTCAGCGATATATTGTAAAATTAAAGCAACCCTGCGTTGTCCTGGTAACAGTTTCGTTTTGATTTTGTGTGTTTGCCTTATTTAAGATTTCATTTGTTTATAAAAGATAAGAAAAGAATTCAACATGTTTCGTCGCGGCAAATTTTCCTTTCTGACCAGCAAAGATGATCGCATTAAAATCATCAACGAACGCATAAATTTGACAGAACGCCATTTAATGGAAATGTGTTCAGCTTTTTCGATGCTAACACGAAAAATGGCTAAGTAAGAAATGTATATACTAATATAAATATCTGTGATATATACGAATATTTGATAGATATCGCGATGCACACGATGAGCTGGCTAAGCACATTAAGAACTATGCAGATGAGGAGGAAATCAATGAGAGTTTATGCAATGGACTTAAGAGCTTCACCAACGCGTTGACCATAACTGGGGATTATATGGACATCAATGTGAAGAGGTTGGAGCTGAAGGTAAGGGTAATTAAATAAGTGTAATAGAACAAAAATAAATATATTTATATACCCCAGATAGTCAACGAGCTGGCTCACTTTGAACAGCTGTGCAAATCCACTAGGGACAATCTGCGTCTCGCTGTCATTGCAAGAGACAAGGAGGTACTCAGCCAGCGTCAAATGCTGGAGCTGAAGTCAAAATTTGCAGCAAACAATGTAAGATAGTAACAGATTTACCTTACTCCAATATTATAACAAGATCCTTTAGACCGCCGCTGATTCCGAGCTTTTCAAGACCAAATTGGAGGTTCAACGCACAAACAAGGACATCGACGAGATCATCAGCGGATTTGAGCAGCGCAAGCTGCGGGATGTGAAGCAAGTGCTGAGCGACTTTATATTGATAGCCATGAAACAGCACACCAAGGCGCTGGAGGTGCTCAGCGCCAGCTACTATGATGTGTGCAACATCGATGAGCGCGACGATTTCCTGCAATTTCAAAAGTTAATGAAATCGAAAGAGGAACCCGCTGTCAGTCGCAAATCTTCGCTGAAGAAAGGTTTGCGCTCCCAATCTATGGACAGCTTGGATCACAATCATCTGAGTCCACTCAAAAGACAGCAGAAGCTATCGAAGAGTACAAAGAATTTAACTGGAGCTGGAATACCACGAGCTGGCAAACAGGAGCAGAGCGAAGAGGATGACAGCGAGCTGGATGAGGAGGATGACGATGAGGAAGAAGAAGAGGTGAGGTGTACTCAATAAACAGCAATAGTAAATAATAATATATTGTCACCATCTAGGAGAGCGAACAAAGCGCCGAGGAGGAGGATGAAGAGGAAGAGGCCTCCGGCAGCGTTTCAGACGACGAGGGCGAACAGGGAATGCCTCACGAGAATGTCTTTGGCGCCAAGGCCAGAAACAAGGAATCAGCCAGTTCAACAGCAACTCCATTGAAGCCAGTGGTGCGACAGCCAGTCAAACATCCTTTTAAGGCCGTGGCAGCCACGCATGTAAGATTGCAAAAGCAATTCCATGTGCCACACAACTAAAAACCTAGAATTTCGAAACTAGAACTCATTTGCATATAGCTCGCCCTCGCTTGACTCCCAGACTACCACGCTACGCCTCTCATTATTTATCCCAAATAAACAATAATAATCGAACGAGGGCAGCCATACATGTTCCATACATCTTCGGGTAGCCGAAGTTGAAATACGCTTGCAGAAGAATATTTGAGAAAGAGCCTATTATTGTATATTGATATGTTAAACCTCTAGTATACTTTAAAGAAGACAATAGATGTCCCATAGAAGATATATTGATATAGTCGATCTCATTAAAACTTCTCTTATTTGTTACGTAGTCAGTACAGATCATTATAGACTATCAAAGGACTGCCATAAAATGATATATAAAATTCATCTACAGATCCAAGATAATCCATCCAACCTCTTCATAAATGCTTGGGGTTTCGGCGTAATCTCCCTATAAATCTGACATATTGCATATACAAGTTGAACTATCCTTCTGCAAGGCTATATCAATAATAATGATGTATATCTAATCAGGTGGAACCTTCTGCACCTTCTTTTCTTTTTCCTCCTCCCGCCTGCCTCTCTCAACTTCTCCTCGTCCACTTATCCCGTTTCAGGTGGCATTCCGTAAACAGCGCACAGAACGAGACGCTGGCATAGCAACTGAGGGTGGAGGTGGCGGACGTCGCTTGGTGACGGTTGTTGAATCGAAGCGTGCTTAAGATCTAAACAGTTTGACATGCATTGATGGGGTTTTCCCGTTTTTAGTGTGTACAATTCTTGATTTTTAATTATAATAAAAAACGTGTATCGGCAAAAATTTCAAATTATTGCCTAACAATGAAACTTTCCAAAATGCACTTAACTTAAATTTTGACATTAACTTAAAACTATGCAAAAAATAGGAAATGAGCAAAATGTGGCTTGGATACATTTGGGGAGCAATTGCATGGGTGTGAATGAATGTGAGATTTTGGAATTGTTACAAAAGTGTGAGAGTAAATGTGTACGTGTGTATATGTAGTATGTTGTGTAGATGTTCGATGTATATGTGATTGTGGTGCTGCATGCCTTAAATGTGGGCGTGGCACTGGGCACTGATATCTTGGATTCACTCATTTCTCCGGTGCCGCTCCCTCGACACCCGCCTGATTCATCAGATCCGCAATGCTCTTTTCCAGATCATCGATCCGATTGCCCATGTCATCGATACGTGTGATTATTTGATCTGACATCGTTTGAAATTTGTCTTGCACATTCTGCAACAGATTTTGTACCTAAGATAGATAAGAGGTACACAGCATGGGAAAGAAAGAGTGTGAGTGTTGAGAGGAAGGGGGAGCGTGAAAAGTGGGAGTAGGTAGTTGAATCGTTTTGTTTGTTGTATTTACTGTTAAGTGTCTCTTATTTCATTCGCATTACTCACGTAAATTGTTAGCTCCTGCATATTCTTTGGATCCGCATTGCTGTTCAGTGAGTAGTTCTGATCCAGATCGCTGTCTATCTCATTGCGCAAATCAGTCATATTATGGCTTTGTTGTTATTATTTTTAAAAAAGTACAAAAATTTTTGGTTTTCGCTCTTTGTTAGCCGTTTTCCTCTTTTCCTTGCTTCTGTTTGCGTCGGCGGCTGCGGCTATATAGAAAAACTTTTAGCAATTTGCCAGAGCACAGCTGTAGCGCGATAGTAGTTCTTTAGAGATAACACCGCGTCGTGTATCGATACTGATATCGGTGGGTTTTGCAGTTGATGCACAATTCTAGTTTATGTAACCGAACCGCATACAAAAATGTTCCGTAGGCTTATTATAACTTATTTTATATTTGTTTAATTGTATATTTATTTATTTTTTTATTTATAACTTATCTGGGAACTATTTTTATTTACGATATTCGAAATTGATTGTCAAGTTAACAGATTTTCCAAAACTGTTAATCATCAGTGTGACCGCAGTGTGTGTGGCGCATGGCAATAGTATTTCGATAATTAACTGCTTGTCTTTTAAAATATGAAGCTTAAAATTTATAAATTTGAATACAAATAATATAATATATGGGATATGAAGTAAAACTTTGTTTAATGTCATCATATTTACATTCATTAAATAAGATATACAAAATATTGCCAGAGTTGGGTCCTTTTACTGAACAGCTGATATTTGTTTGTTTGCTGTTATGTTTTTAATTCGAATTCATGCAATTTTACATACACTCTCTCGCTCCGACTAACTCTCATAACTGGTCAAACTCGTTTTTCGTACTCTATTTTGCTGCCACAGCAAGTACAGGGAATGAGACAAAGGAGTTCAGTTCAACAGTTCCTACCACAAAAGATTCAGCACTTAAGCGCCGAATGAAAAACTAATGCGTTGTACACAAAAAAAGAAAAAGACAACAACAACAGCAACCAAAACAATAAATGCACGGAACGCTGGCTGAAAAAACACCCCCCGCTAGGGCAACGAATATAAATTCATAAATAAAACCAGTGGCGTTGTCCGTTAGGCTTGGAGAAGGGTCGCAAACAGCTGATAAGCGCATTAGGCGCGTCACTGTCAAGCAGCAGTGAGAGAGACAGACAGGGTGAGAGAGAGCGCACGAGAGCTAAGCAGGGCAGCAGAGAGCGCAAGCAAGTGTGAGATAATGGCCAGCACAAGCAGAATATAATTTACAGTATTTCGTTGATGAAAACAGTCTGTGCCATGTTAACGGTCGCTGAGGATCGTTCGTCGCCTGTTGAATACTATTAAAAAATCTAACGAGTATATACAAAAGGCGATAATTATAAGTGAAACGTTGAAATTCGAGTAAATAGTTCATCATAAGAATTATGTATTAAAAAATAATGCAGTTTGTGTGTGCGGGTGTTAATGTCCAATAAGAGGCCACGGCCTGGGTGCATGTGCATACATGTATGTATGCATGCATGTGTGTGTGCATTTGTGTATCTGTGTGCATGTGTTGGTGTCATATCAGCAGCGATTGTGTTACAACAACAGCAACAACATTAACAACGATGTTACTCTAATCAGTAACTTTTGACCAATCAATCGAGAATAATATTTTGTGGTTTACATTGACGTTCAGTGCAACAATTTTTATTAAAACCTGCGATAAGCCGCAAAAGAGCCCAAGCAACACGTTCACATTTAACACAATATCAGGCGCTAGTTCTAATAAGAACTAGTTTGTGCGTACGAGTGTGTATGTTGCGGTAGTGTTGCCAATTGAATTATAGGCCGAAAAATAAAACAGGAAGACTCACCAACACAAACGCACTCACGCACACGCACACACGAATACATATATAAATTAATATATGTGGTAATCAGCTGGCTTTTTTTGGCGCTCAGCAGTGCGAAAAAAAAAAAAAACGAGAGCGAAAGTGTGTGTAAAGCGTAACAAACAAAGTTAAAATAAAGATGCAGCAATTAACAGTAATTAAAACTAAAACGAGAAGCGCGGTAACAAGAAAGAATAAAAAGAAAAGGAATAAAAATTGTATATACTTTTAATATATTATATGTAATGTTGTGTGCCCCTGTTAACAAAGGCAGAAGACGCGCAAAATAAAATACTTACTATATACATATATATTATATATACATATTTAACTGCATGCATGTACAAACAAACACACACACACAAACTCTCGTACAAATAAATATTCATTTGCCTGCCTCAAATGCATTTGCATGAGCTAAGCGCTGAGCGCGTTTGTTTACAAAAAGCATCAGTGAGCAACAGATAAAAAAAGAGAGAGAGAGAGAGCGAGAGAGTGAAGGAGATTTAAGTAGACTTTGCACTAATTAGATTTTGTTACTTAGCACACTAAATAGGATTGAAGTTAAGTAGGCGCTGTAAGAGCGAACATTCAATTAAAAACAAAGTAGAAAGAGTTCGCGAGCATCTGTCAACACGTGTAAGACAAAGACACCATCACTAATAACAGCAGCAAACAGCCAGCAGCTGTCAATGAAATCGAAAAATTTTCAAACAATAACAACCATTAACCGTTTATGCGCTGTATGTGTGCTATTTTTGCTCGCATGCTTTGTGGCAAGTTCTGATTAGCAACAGTGCATCAGAACATCTCCCGCTCCCGCGAGCAATCAGCTAAAAAGCTAATGAACTCTCACACCCACTCACATACACACGCACGTAAACATATGTACATACGCACAGTACGGCGCAACTTTTAAGAGCGTGTCGCTCATTCCGTTTTCTTCATATGTATGTATGTATATGCATGTATGTAGACAAAAGAGGAAAAAAAGCAACAAATAAACAGGCAGAACTCATCAACGCGTTTAGCAAACATTCGAGCTGTGTTTATTACTATTTTTTCGGCCTAAAAATTTTATTTATGCAAATTTTGTTCTCTCTTGGTCGAACCTCTGTAGGCACGATCTTCAAGCGAGAAAGAGACAGCAACACAGCGAAAGGGATTAGAAGCGAATGCTCAGGGAATTAGAATTTATTTAAACACAAGTTTAGACGTGCTTTCGACGCGGCGTGTGCTAAAGACAAGGCAAATGAGCTAGTAATATTTTAAAGTAAAAAGTCATTTGATGAATAAAGCGAACAGATCAAAGGTCGAGGAACAAAAAAAAAAAACAAAAAAACACACACAAAACCAACAACTACAACAGCAAAACAAGCAACTAGAACAACAACAACAAAATCAACAACTGCACGAATTTTATCAACATGTCCAGCTGGAGTTTGGCCAGTGCCGTTTCGACAACGGTCACGGGCAGTGGTGCCGGTGACGTCATCAGGCTAAATAAATTAAAAGCCGCCTCCGACATAGACATCGCAACAGCGACTGATAGCAAACAGCAGCAAAGATCAGCCCGTCCAACTACACCTGTGCCCGCCAAAAAGTTGACCTCGAAGCGGCCGCCACATTTAACATTGCACATCCCACTGTCAACAACAAAAGCAACAACAACAACAGCAACAACGGCGACGAAAACAACAGAGGCTCACGAAGCACCTCTAGCTGAAGCGGAAAACGTTGCGCTCTCCTGTAGCTCTTCCGTCTATGGCACACCCCTGGGCTCTGCTGCAGTTCTCGCACCAGCCGCCACGCCAGGGAGCCAAAATACAAGCAGCTCCACCAGCCATAGCAGCAACAGCACCGCTAACTCTATTTTCCCCCACGAGCAATACAAGACAATCAAGAAAATCGACATACAATTCGATAATATAAAACATAGTGCAAAATTTGGATTTTTCAGGAGAGGTAAGTCGGAAATATCTATATATATGTGTAAAAAAAAATTTAAAAAAAAAACTCCTATATAAAATGTATTTAGAGAATAAAATATTAAATGAACGACAGTTTTCCGCTTAAAGCCCTTATAGATCTTCTTTAACGTGTGAATTCTTGGGTATTTGTTCCAAAACACCTTTTCATAGATATGTCTATCTTTATTTATTTATCTTTCTTTGTAAAAATACTAATATTTAGCTATGAAACACTGAGTATGAGTATGAGTTTTTATTATCTATAAAGGGCCCTGGGTTTATTTCGTTATCTGTGAGTCGCCATGTATGTAATTCCAAATACAAAATCTTCATCTTTAAAACACCCTGCCTATTATTCAATGTTTGTTTCTCTATTGGATACTTATGAACTATGAAGTGCCTTGTACGTCATTCGATAATCATTATAAATCTATGAATTTAGATAACCCTGTGACACATTTATTATGCTATAAAAGTATTTTATAATCTTCAGCCCCTGAAAGAGTATTCCAATAAAAATGAAAAGCTACTTTCATATGACGTCAGCGAATTGCCAAATCGGCTATTTAACGCTCTAATTCAGTATGCATTTGTGAGACTAACTATAAAATACCTAAAGCTCTGGACTTGAATAAAATAGTCTAAGTATTTTGATGTCTCTGATACACCCTGTAATCGGCCTAATTCCTAAACTGAGGTTTAGTTAAGCTCTAAAATATATATTCTTAACTATATTATTGATTCCAAAAACAATCCAGTCCAAATGGTTATATAAAGTACTTCCACAACACTGCAACATTGTGGTTCATTAAAAGCCTATTAAGCCATATGACTACTGTGTTTTATCAGTTTACAACCTACCATTATGTTTCGATCGCTCTTGTGCCAGTCCACTTCCAGTCACACCCTGATGCATGTTTCGATAAGCAAAACAGCAGACAGACATTGCATGGCATCTAGTAGAAAACATATTTATTTTGCTATATATATATATATATATGTACATGTACTAATATGAATAGTAATTTATGAAAAAAACTACGAAAGCGCAAGAACAGACGTTCAAAAATAGTAACAATAATGATTATGAACCTAGCCACCTTTCACACTTGAACTACTTGCTCTGCCTTTGAGCGTTAAACAATAAAATAGCATGCATAATACATATATCCCTTACTACCAAGATTTTTTTATATTAAACTATGGTCATTTATTTTCATATGTATGTACACTTCGCATTTCCTCTAGTTAATGTATAGAATAATACAAATCAACGAATTACCCTGTGGGCATTTATTTTCTCCTGCTTCAGTGCCCTTTTCATACGTTAAAATAATGTTCTAATATAGTTCGCAACATTTGGTTCAGTTCATTGAATATGTTAATATTCCATTTATGACAAAGAATGAGCACACAAGCACCCTGTGCACCCTAAGCGGGATATTATG